ACAAAGGTAAGTAAAGCTAGAGCTAATCACAGAGGACAAGTGAGAAAGAGGAGAGACCGTGGAGGGAGAGAAGATTGGAGGCAACGTCTGAAGCTGCAGAGGCACGGGCACAGGAGCGGCTGACTCAGTGGCTACCGAAGCAAGGGCGACGGACTACTGGAGTGACTGGCTCCGCGGCTATAGACGACCGGCAGGAGCAACGAACCCACTAGCGACTGGTGCAACAGGCTCACTAGCTACCGAAGCAAGGGCGACGGACTACAGGCGCTGCAAGAGACACGACAGCTACCTTCACACAACCTCCTCCAACTGCCTCACTCCCCTCTCACACACCCCCTGTTCAAACCCTAGCTCCACTCCCACAGCACCCCCTTTAAACCCTAAACCCCTGACTCCCACACATCCACCCCCCTCAGCGACAGCTGCAACAGTGGGAGACGAAGGAGGAGGAGAAGGGGACGGCGCGCACAACCGACACCCCCACAACCATCACCCCCACACTCCTCACCCCCAAAACCCTAAAACGGGTGGAATAGGGGCAGGAGCGCGTAGGATGGTGAGGGGGGGACAGCGCGCGACCCCCAGGGCGCCAGAACGGACGGGCTGGGCGGGTGGAGGGGGGGTGGCGCGCGCTGCTCCTCAGGGCGCCGCGATGTACGGGCAGAGGGGACGCGCGCGCGGCTCCTCAGGGCGCCGCGACGGCCTGACGGGGCGCGCGCGGGCTCCCGAGGGCGCCGCGACGAACTGGCGGGGCGCGCGCGGCCTCCTCAGGACGTCGCGACGAACGGGCGGGGCGCTCGCGGGCTCCCCAGTGCATCGCGACGGACGGGCGGGGCGCTCGCGGGCTACCCAGGGCGTCGCGACGGACGGGCAGGGCGCTCGCGGGCTCCCCAGGGCGTCGCGACGTGCAGGGTGGGGGCCGCGCGTGCTCCCCAGGGCGCCGCTACGGACGGGCGGGGTGCACGCCACGTCCTCCACGGCAGGAAACCGCCGCGCGCCTCGGGGCGCACGGCGGGCAGAAAACCGCGGTGCGCCCCGAGCGCGCGGCGGGATGAAAAATTGGAGGTCGCGCGCCACGGGGCGCGCGACACAGAGTAGGGCAGCGGAAGCAGGTGGGCCCACGGGCCAGGACCGTATCGCTTTGATAGCATGTTGAGAGAACGAGCAAAACGAGGAGCACTAGCTAGGTAAGCCCTAGCTAGGTAGGAGAAGTTTAGGCAAAGAGGGAGGGGTTCACTAGCAGCAATGAGGATACAAATAGCAAACCCTAGATGGGTTGTACTCGCTATAGAGGACCCCACTACAGGCTAGAGAATAACATTCTGACTGGCTCCTCATGTATATTTGCAGGGCAGGATGATTTTTGATGTTGGCCAGGGGCACCCAGCTATCTTCAGTTGGCGTGCGTTCCTTCCAGCGAACGAGGAATTCAATCCTCCTGATTCACATGGGGTGTCGAATCCGATGGCTCAAGATTTTTTCGAGCTCGATGATCGGCTCCGATGCAGGGCGAGTCATGGATGGCCGGCGGTGACGAGGCAGTTGGCTTGTGGTTTGGATGTATGGGCGAAGTAGGCTGACGTGGAACGAAGGGATGACGTACCAGTCCGTCGGCAACAGTAGGTGAGCTATCACTGGGGTAATTATGTGGCTGATTTGGAATGGTCCAAAGTAGCGGGGTCGTAATTTCGGTACGACGGGCAGTCTTAAGTTTTGCGAGTCGAGCAGTACGTAATCTCCTGACTGGTACGTGACTGGGCAGCGGTGGCGGTCAGCGTCGCATTTAGCGATGACGTTGGCTTTTTTAAATGCTTCTGCGGCTCTGGTGCGGGCAGTTTGCAGAATTTCGGCGAATTGCTGTGCACGTGGCGTTGGGTTGTCCAGACTCGGCGTCATGGGCACTAAAGGATTTTGCCCGTAGTTCAAGTAGAAAGGGGGCTGCTGCGTCGTCGCTGATGTGGCGTTGTTATGGGTCGGTACTGTATCCGTGGGTGAATAGGCCTGTTAGAAGTGGGTTGGTTTAGGCGAGTAGGATGGCGTGGAGTTGGGCGGTGGGGCGTGTGAGTGCATCGGCGATGTTGGATGCGCCTTTTTTGTACGTGACCGTGTAGTGGAAGTTGGACTCCAGATAGTCCAACCAGCGGATCTGTCGTAGGTTGAGATTCGGTTGGGCGCGAAGGTACTGTAGAGATCGGTGGTCTGTCCGTGCTGTCGCGCCTGCTCCCGTGAGGTAACATCGCCACACCTTGAACGCGTGCACGATCGCCAGCATTTCACGGTCGTGTATTGGGTAGTGGCGTTCGGGCGGGTGAAGCTTGCGGGACTCGTAAGTGATTGGCTGGAGGTCGTTCCCGAAGTCCTGCAACAGTACTGCTCCCACAGCGATGTCGCTAGCGTCGGTGACGAGCTCGAACGGACGGTGCGGATCTGCGATGTGAAGCACGGGCGATGAGCACAAAATATTTTTTAGGGCCGAGAAGGCAGCTTACTTTTTCTCCCCCCACGTGTACTCAACCCCCTTCCCCAGCACGTCGGTCAACGGGGCAGTCAGCTTCGCCATGTCGTGGACGAACCCGCGCACGTAGTTGACGAACCCCAAAAAACTCTGCAGGTCGGTCAAGTTGGTCGGTGCGTGCCATGCTTGAATCGTCGCGATCTTTTTCGGGTCTATTTCCACTCCTGCAGCTGAAATAATGTGTCCCAAAAACTCCAGTCGGTTATGTAAAAACTCACACTTAGACGCTTTTGTCACTAGGCGGTTCTCACTCAGTATCTTAAAAACTGCTTCGATGTCCTGTAAGTGATGTGCTCTGTCAGGACTGTAAAACAGTATGTCGTCCAGGTATACGATGACGCACTTATCTAAAAGCGGGCGGAAGGCTTCGTTGATGGTCATTCGAAAAGTGGCGGGGGCGTTGGTCAGTCCGAAGGGCATGACGATGTATTCGAAGGATCCGTAGCGTATTCGGAAGGCTGCCTTAGGGCAGTCGGGTGGGTTGACGCGAATCTGGTGGTAACCTCATCGAAGGTCGATTTTCGAGAAAACCCGGGCTGTGCGTAGTTGGTCAATCAATTCGTCGGCTCGTGGGATGGGGTAACAGGATTTGATGGTAACCCTATTCAGTGCTCTGTAGTCTATTCACATGCGAAAACCCCCGTCTCTTTTCGGTGTGAACAGTATCGGTGCGACGAAGGGCGACGAACTAGAGCGAATGAACTCCTTCTCGAGCAGGTAATCCAGCTGCTTCCTCAGTTCGTCCAGTTCGGGTTGGGTCAGTCAAAACTGTCACTGTACTGTTGGCTGTGCCCCCGGTTCTAATTCGATCCTGTGGTCGTGCGTTCGCTGAGGTGGCAGTCCCGTCGGTAGGTCGTCCGGGAAGATGTCACTATACTGCTTCAACAGTGCTGCCAGGTTACTCGGTACGTCGGCTAGCAGTTTCTGTAAATCCCCTCCTTTGTCTGCTACTTCGGCTTCCCGAATGTCAACCGCATACACGTCAACTCATGCCAATACAGCGCGTTTCATCGTGATCGCGTTGACACGCACCGACGAAGACTCAGGCGGGCCCCAGCGAGGTAAGGCAATGTTGTGTCAGAACATTATAGCTTATGCTTTTGTGTAGGCTGTAGTGGGGTAGCCCATATGGGGTACAACCCAATTAGGGTTAGTACTTGTACCCAGCTCTTTCATAGTTGAGTCATTCTCGTTTCAGTTTCCTCATGGTATCGAGCAGGTTCCCTCGTGGGAACTGTTTGTAGGGCCCACCAACTCGATATTTGTTTATTTTCCTGCCCGGAGCGCGCTCAGCCCTAGCCCGAGTCGCGCTCCCCTTCTCGACCCAGTCGCGCCGCCCTTGCGGCCCTGATCAGCGGCCCTAGCGGCCCCGTCGCCTGCCTCGTGGCCCTCGCGCCGCCCTTCCTGGCCCCGACCCGCCACCCTGCGGCCTCGTCGCCTATCCCGCGGCCCTCGCGCCGCCATCTCCCGGCCCCGATCCGCCGCCCTGCGGCCTCGTCGCCTACCCCGCGGCCCTCGCGCCGCCCTGCGGCCCTAACACCGCCCTTACCTGCGGCCCCGGCGCCTACTTGCTGGCCCCGCCACCTACCTGCGGCCCCGCCACCTACCTGCGGCCCCGCCACCTACCTGCGGCCCCGCTGCCCTTACCTGCGGCCCCGCCGCCCTTACATGCGGCCCCGCCACCTACCTGCGGCCTCGCCACCTACCTGCAGCCCCGGCGCCTACCTGCGGCATAGGCGCGTACCTGTGCGACCCCGGCGCCTACCTGCTGGCCCCGCCACCTACCTGTGGCCCCGCCACCTACCTGCGGCCCCGCCGCCCTTATCTGCGGCCCCGGCGCCGCCTCTGCCGGCCTCGCCGCCGTCCCCTCACAGCCCCGCCGCCACCACTTCGGCGCAAGCGCCGTAGCCTGCTCTAGCGCCGCCAGCCGCCCAAGCCGCCACGCCCAGCCGAGCAGCCGACCGCCGCGCCGCCCTGCACCCGAACCGCCGAGCCGCCCAGTAGCCGAGCACCCGAGCCGCCGGGCCACCCTGCAGCCGAGCCGCCCTGCAGCCGAGCCGCCAGGCGCCCAGCAGCCGAGCAGCCGAGCCGCCGAGCCACCCAGCGGCCGTACAACCGAGCCGCCAAGCCGCCGAGTCGCCCTGCATCCGAGCCGCCCGAGCCGCCCTGTCAGGTAAGAGCAGCGCCTCTGTCACTGCACTGCCCTCACCCTACTGTTCCCGCTGCCAGTCTACTGCTATCATGGCTACCCCTAGTGTCCTCGCTTTTGATTCTGAGGGACGGGCCGTTGACTTTGACGTCTGGATAGATGACCTGCAGCTTTTCTTACAGTGCGATAGGGCAAACGGTCTCTCTCTCTTTGACCTCACCTCTGGTGCCTCTCCTGCCCCTGCTGCTGATGCTGACGCCAGTGTTCGCTCACAGGGGGCCACGCGCGATGCTGCTGCACGTCTTGCTGTGCGTCGCCACCTGCCTACCTCTGAGCATGCACACTTTAGCCAGTACAGGAGTGCTCAGACCTTGTACGACGCTGTAGTTGCACGCTACTCCTCCCCTGCCACTGCTGCACTGAGCCGCCTCATGCTACCGTACCTCTTCCCTGACCTTGCTGCCTTTCTCACAGTCGCTGACCTCATTACGCACCTCCGCACTAGTGACTCTCGCTACCGCGCTGCGCTTCCTGCTGAGTTCTGCGCCAAGAACCCCCCCCCCATGTACATCCCTTTCTACTACGTAGTCACCCGACTCCTTGACTCCCTTCGCGTAGTCAGGAACCACTTCCTCTCAGTCTGTCCCACCACTCTCACTGTTGACCTCCTCGAGAAGGCCCTCTTAGCAGTAGAGAAGAGCATAGTGGTTGTAGGAGCCTCTCGTGGTGACCCGCGCACCCCCATCTTTGAGGGGTGTTCCCCCTCCCCCCTTCTGCCCTCTGTTGCTTCTGCTGCTGCGGCCGACCTCGTTGGGCTTGAGTCGGTCGGTGCGGCGTCTACCCCTAGCGGGAGACGCCGCCCTGGCAAGGGCAAGGGGGGCAGGGGTGCTGGAGGAGCTAGCGGGGGCGGTGGAGGCGGCGGTGGAGGCGGAGGAGGGGGTGGGGGTGGTGGTGGGGGTGGTGGCGGGGGTGGTGGCGGGGGTGGAGGTGTTGGTGGCGGCAGTGGAGGCGGAGGCGGCGGCAGTGGCGGTGGGAGCGGAGGTGGCGGTGGGAGCGGAGGTGGCGGGGGTGGCGGCGGTGGAGGAGGCGGTGGCGGAGGAGGTGGAGCTGGTCGGGGTGGCGCTGCGCAGAGCGTCGGCTCCGGTGGTGGTCAGTGCCAGCAACAGTAGCAGCGCACTCGTGACATCCCCCCCCCCTCAGCAGCTCTGTGAGTGGTACGCTGCACGCCAGCGGGGTGGGGGTACTGGTCCGTGCACCTACGTCCTACGCACCGGCGACCGCGCGGGTGAGCAGTGTGGGGGTGCGCACCCCACCTAGCGCTGCTTTGGCCGCCTGACGGACGCTTGGTGTCACCAGTTTCTGGAGGCCACGGAGATCCCCCGCTGGGGTGAGCTGTCTAGGTCTGGAGTAGCTATCTTTGATCTTGACTTTGATGCTATTCTTGCTGCCATGTATGATGTGACTATTAGTGATGAGGGTGACTGTTATCGGTGTTTCCCGCCCGACCCGGGCATTGAGACTGCTGCTCCAGGTACTGGTGAGGCTGTTGCTCTAGGTGCTAGCGAGGCTGCTGCTCTAGGTGCTAGTGCGTCTGCTCCCTCTGGTGCTGGTGAGTCCGCGCTCTCAGGTACCGAGTCGCCTTCGGCCTCCCTCACCTTCACCCTTGACTCAGGGGCTTCTCGCTCCTTCTTTCGAGACCGCACCACACTCACGCCGCTTGGTCGGCCAGTCGCGGTCTCTCTGGCAGACCCCTTTGGGGGTCCTGTCCTTGCTCACTTCTCCACTGTCCTCTCGTGTCCGGCGGCTCCCTCTGGCACCCTGTCTGGTCTTTACCTCCCCTCGTTCTCTATGAACTTGGTGAGTGGTGCTGACCTTCAGGATGGGGGAGTTCACCAGTTCACTCCTGCGAGCCAGCGGGTGACCCACTGCACGGACGCTCGGACGGGCCGACACTTGGCCACGTTTACTTGCGGCCGGGGTCGAGCATGTACACACTGACCACTACGTCTCCTTCTGTCCCTGCGTCTAGTCAGGTAGCTGCGTCGGGTCAGGTGTTTGCTGCAGCGTCCAGGTCTGGTCCTAAGTCTGCCCCCTGCTCGTGTCGCCTCCTGTCTCACGAGACTCTCCTCTCGCACCACCGCCTTGGTCACCCCTCCCTGCTTCGTCTCCGAGGCATGGCCTCCCGTCTCCTTGTCTCTAGTCTTCCCCGGTCCCTCCCTCTTCTTCCTCCGGGGCCTGGCCCTACCTGCGTCCCCTGTGTCGAGGGGCGGCAGCACGCTGCCCCTCACTCCTCCCAGTTTCCTCCGACAGAGGCCCCGCTGCAGACGCTTCACCTGGACGTGTGGGGCCCCGCACGCGTCCGGGGACTGAGTCACGAGCGCTACTTCCTGTTGGTGGTTGACGACTAATCGCGTTACACCACAGTCTTCCCCTTCCGTAGCAAGGGTGATGTTACTGAGGTGTTGATTGGCTGGATCCGCGCAGCTCGTCTCCAGCTCAGGCAGAGCTTCGGCTCGGACTTTCCTATTCTGCGTCTGCACTCTGACAGAGGCGGAGAGTTCTCTTCTGGCCTTATGAGAGTCTACTGTCGTGCACGAGGCATCCGCCAGACCTTCGCGCTTCCGGACTCTCCACAGCAAAATGGGATTGCCGAGCGCCGCATTGGCATGGTCATGGACGTCGCCTGTACGTCCATGATGCATGCGGCTGTCCCCCATTTTCTGTGGCCGTTTGCGGTTCGGTACGCAGCGCATCAGATCAACCTCCACCCCAGGGTCTCCAGGCCGGAGACCTCCCCAGCCTTGCCGTGGACGGGGAAGGTTGGCGATGCGTCTGAGTTCCGTGTCTGGGGATCTCGGGCGTTTGTCCGCGACTTGTCTGCGGACAAGCTGTCCCCTCGTGCTGCTCCTTGCGTCTTCCTAGGTTTCCCCCCTGACGCGCCAGAGTGGCAGTTCTACCACCCCACCTCTCGTCGTGTTCTGTCCTCCCACGACGTCACGTTTGACGAGACGGTCCCCTACTACCGCCTCTTCCCCTACCGCACTCCGTCCCTCCCCCCGCCGCCGCTCTTCCTTGTACCAGGTCCCCCCCCGGTAGACCCCCCTCCCCCCTCAGGGTCCGGCCCCTTCAGGTGTGTCCCAGGTAGACGTAGTCGAGCCTGTCGAGGGTGCTGAGCCTGGGGGTGCTGACTCTGAGGGTGTTGAGCGTGTGCGTGCTACGTCTGGGGGTCCTGAGCCTGGGGGTGCTGAGCCTGGGGGTGCTACGTCTGGAGGTGCTGAGCCTAGGGGTGTGGAGCCTGGGGGTGCTGCGTCTAGAGGTGCTGAGCCTGGGGGTGTGGAGCCTAAGGGAGCTGGGCCTGCTTGTGAGGCGTCCGGCGGTGCTGGGCCTGGAGGTTCTCCGGGTGCTTCGTCTTGGCGGGAGCCACTCTCTCCACAGGAGTTGCGCGAGTGGTTTGGCCGGCGCTGGAGCCGTACTGCTGGAGCTAGAGGTTCTTCGGCTGCTGAGGGTGATGGTGTCGTGGGTCCCGGAGGTGCTCGTACTGGAGCTACTGGAGCTGCTGGGCCGGTGGGTGCGTCTGGAGCTGGAGCTGCTGAGGGTGTCGGCGCTGAGACTTCTGCTGTCGGTCCTAGCGACGGTGTTGCTGGAGGTACTGGAGCTGGAGGTGCTGCTAGCTCGGGTGCTGCCACTGGGGGTGCAGGTGCTGTCCCTGCTATGTCTGGAGTCACTGCGCCTCGGCCGTACTTCGTTCCGCTCCTTCAGCAAGTTCTTGGTCTCCCGCCTTCTACTGGTCCTCCTCCTCCCTTAGAGTGTCCACAGCCTGTCCCGTCACAGTTACAATTACAGCCCGCCTCCCCACTGCCTGCCCCTTCTCCCTACACTGGTCCTACTGGAGGTCTTGCTGAGTGTCGTGAGCCTGCGTCTCGCCCTGCGTCGCCTGTCCGTGCTGCTCGCGCTAGTGGTCGTGGTTCGCGTCAGCATCCTCCTCCTGTCCTTGGCACGCACCGGATGTCTCTACGTCCGTCCACTGCTCCTCTGCGTGCCCCTTTGCCTTCTCCTCCTAATTCCTCTCTTCCTGCCCTTCCCGATCCGTAGTCCGACTCTCTTCGTGCTGCCAGTCCTACTGTCACGCGTCTCCTTGCTACTGTCGTTACTGTCGCTTCCTTTGATTCCACTGCTGCGTATGCTCTCGTTGCTGAGCTCGTCGACTTTGCTGCTCTTTGTCGTCTAGACTACCCCGCTGGTCTTGTCGCTGAGTCTGAGTCTGTCTGTCCTCCATCCGTCGGGGGTGAGTGTGCCCTTGGCACGGACGTCCTTGAGGACGGGCAGGAGGAGTTCCAGTGTCTGGCTGCTGCTTCACCTCATCTCGTGTCCGTACTGCTCACCCCTGAGGGAGACCCGGATGCACTTGACAACCCGACTTCGCGCTCTTACGCGGAGGCGATAGAGGGTCCCTACTCCTCTCAGTGGCAGGCAGCTATGGACGCAGAGATGGCTTCCTGGAAGTCCACAGGCACCTACGTTGACGAGGTTCCCCCACCTGGGGCGAACATCGTCACTAGCATGTGGATTTTCAGGGTGAAGCGGCTGCCAGGTTCCCCGCGTGTCTTCAAGGCGCGCTACGTGGCTCGTGGCTTCAGTCAGCGGCAGGGAGTTGACTACTTTCAGGCCTTCTCTCCCACCCCGAAGATGACTACTCTTCGGGTACTGCTGCACGTAGCTGCTCACCGTGACTACGAGCTGCACTCTCTTGACTTCAGCACTGCTTTCTTGCAGGGTAGCCTGCACGAGGAGATCTGGCTGCGCCGCCCGCCTGGCTTCACTGGGTCTTTTCTTCCTGGCACCCAGTGGAGCCTCCGGCGGCTAGTCTACGGTCTCTGCCAGGCACCGCGTGAGTGGCACGACACACTAAGGACTACGCTTGCGGCTCTTGGGTTTGCTCCCTCTACTGCTGACCCGTCGCGGTTTCTGCGCACCGACACCTCTCTGCCGCCGTTCTACATCCTCGTGTACGTCAACGACATGGTCTTTGCCACAGCTGACACTGTTGGACTCGCCTACGTGAAGTCTGAGCTGCAGAAGAGACACACGTGCACTGACCTGGGTGAACTGCGCAGCTACCTTGGCTTGCAGATCACCCGGGACAGAGCACGCCGCACCATTACCCTGACTCAGTCACATATGGTACAACAGGTCCTTCAGCGCTTCGGCTTCACGTACTCCTTGCCTCAGGCCACTCCTCTGCCTACTCGCCACTCGCTCTGAGCTCTGCTTTTGGATGAGTCCGTAGAGTCGAGTGGCCCGTTTGCAGAGCTTGTTGGCTGCCTCATGTACCTGATGACCTGCACTCGACCTGACCTTCCATACCCTCTTAGCATTCTCGCACGCTCTGTTGCTCCTGGGAGACACCGACCAGAGCACATGGCTGCAGCGAAGAGGGTGTTGCGCTACTTGTGCAGTACGTCGGGCATGGGGCTTGTGCTTGGAGGGCGCAGTCCAGTGGTCCTCACTGGGCACGCAGACGCTTCTTGGGCTGAGGACCAGGCTACGCAGCGGTCGTCACAGGGTTACACCTTTAGCCTTGGTTCCGGCTCTGTTTCGTGGCGGCCTACCCGCTCGTCTTCTGTTCTCGGCTCCAGTTGTGAGGCTGAGATCTACGCTGTGGCCATGGCTGCACAGGAGCTTCGCTGGCTCACCTACCTGCTGAGTGACCTTGGCGAGGTGCCTCGTTCTCCTCCAGTGCTGTACGTAGACAACAAGGCCATGCTGGCCTTGTGTCGAGAGCAGAGACTGGAGCACAGACGAAGCACATTGCTCTTCGCTACTTCCTTGCTCTTGAGCTGCAGCAGCGTGGTCAGCTGCGTCTTGCGTACGTGGCCTCTGAGGCCAACACTGCTGATATCTTCACCAAGGCACTTGCGCTTTGTGATCATCAGCGTTTCTGTACTCAGCTTGGTCTTGTGCCTGCCTTGCCTCACTTTCTCACCTCTTCATCTTCCTTGTACTGTTACATATATATACACCTACTCTTGCTTGCTTAGCCTTCTATATATATATATGTACTCCTGCATATGAACTGGCCTTGTGGCCTTGAACTTGTGCTCGGAATGTGTGGTGACGTTGTGATCCACCCTGAGCTTGCTTTGCTTTGCTTTGCTTGACTAGTCTTGTGACCCCTTGTTCTCCCCACTTTGCCTATGGGGGTGTGACAGAACATTGTAGCTTATGCTTTTGTGTAGGCTGTAGTGGGGTAGCCCATATGGGGTACAACCCAATTAGGGTTAGTACTTGTACCCAACTCTTTCATAGTTGATTTATTCTCGTTTCAGTTTCCTCATGTTGTTACCGTTCACTCGCATAGTGCAGTCACCCGTCGTCCGGTCGATTCGCGGATTGTGTCGTTGCAGCCAATCACGTCTGAGTAAAATATCGGTTTCATCGAGGGTCGTTGCGAGCATTTCCTGGCTAAACGTGAAGTTACCCCCGCATCGAATACGAACTCGGTCCACTCGTTCCCGTATCGCCAGTGGTGTGCCGTCGACCAGTCTTGCGTCGATCTCAGGTAAACATGTGTCCAGTGGCAGTCACAGTTTTCGTGCTTTGGCAGTGTTGATAAGGCTGTGGCTGGCCCCTCCGTCTACGAAGATTTTTACTAACTCCGTCCCGATTTTCCCACTAAGCAGTATAGGGCTGTCTACCGTAGTACCCCTCTTATTCGACCGGGTGTGGTCGATTGCGTAAACCGGCACAATCACTCGGTGAGGGTCGGTTGGGTCGGGCGAGCGGCATGACCTGTCAGTAGAGGGCCCGTCTGCTATTGACTCTTAGCGTTTCCCTGCTGCTTGGTCTGTTTCTGCTGCTCAGCTTTTCCCTTTCCCTTAGCATTTTCTGGGCATTCGCTCTTGCGGTGTCCCGGCCGATTGCACGCAAAGCAGCGCCCTTTGAACGGTGCGGCAGCGGCATTTGCGGCGACGGCACGTATCGTAGCGCCCTCGTTCGTCCGACAAGGCCAATGTCCCCAAATACTGCTTCTGTAGGACCCCGGTCTCGGTCGGCGGAAGAAATCGAGTTTCTCCGCCATGGCGAGAATCTCCTGAAAATCGGTGACGCCGCGATGCTGGATTTCCTGAGCGATGTCCAACTTCAGGCCGCCGATGTAGCGGTCGATGCGTTCGCTCTCGAGCATATAACTCGCTTGCTCGCATAGCGCCAGAAACCCGCTAGTGTAGTCTTGGACGGAACCGACTTGGCGCCAAGTGCGGAGCCTCTGTCGCGCCGCGATTGAAGCCGCAATTGGCTCGAAAAGGAGCTCGCAGATCTGCGCACCACGCGTCCCACGTGCGATACTGGGGCACCTCCTCGAAATACGACGGCGCCCAGGGTCCGGTTCGTCCTTCCCGTGTCGGTAGAGTCGTGTAGTCCAGCGGCTTCGTGACGATGACACGCCACCAGTCCATGGCGGGTCCTCGCAGCAACGGCACGGCGTAACGAATCTTCGCCGTATACCTCATAGACGTAGTTCGCGTCGAAGAAAACGTTCAACGTGAAGAGCCACGCCTGAACGGTAGGACCACCCCGCTGACTAGGATTGAAACATGGCGGAGGCTGCGGCTTCAGCGGCATCGGCGACGGTAGGGTTGATTCACCGGCCAACACCGAAACGGTGACTCGAGGCTGATTCCTGGCCGCATTCGTCGCATCGGGGTGTGTCGTGCCGTGGTCGTAGTCTCCGTCATGGCGGACAACGCCATCACTTGCGGCGCTCGCAGATTGCCCCACACTTTCGTGTTGCGATGTCTGTGGTGCGGGCTGAATCGGAGTGCCAGGTGCTTGGGATTGTGCTCGTGCGAGGTCGTTTTGCAGAGACGTGCGTTCTGCCGCCAGCGCCGCGATTTCTCCAGAGCTTTCGCGGATTTGCTGCAGCAGTTCGTTCAAGTGCTCCTGCGTGGGAGTCGCGCCATCGATATGCTCAGCCATTACTATTGGACGGCGACTCGACTTAGTATAGGTGCAGTCGTGGCTGCACGCGTTTACGTGAGAACGTGAGGACAGCGAATCCTAGGAGCTAAGGTGCGTGAGTCCTTTCGAGTGAAAAATCAAAAGTTGATTTCCTGGGGTGCGGAGATGCGCGGTCCGAAAATAAAGAGG